ATATGAATAAAAAATAAAAAAAAAAAACAAACAATTTATAAAGAATTTTACGTTTTTGGTTAATGATTTACTTCGAGCTTAGCGCTTGGGAAATAGTGAAGGAATGATTTTTATGGTACTTTTTTGGACATATCTTTTTTGTTTATCGTATAAAAAAATAATTTATTTCATAAATTAGTACATCTAGTACAGTAGTTTTATTAAAAAAAAATTCTTATAATTGACGATCCTGGTTTACATAAATCATCAAGGACATCAATTTCGACTTTTTTTCGGAATTAGCCACATATATTGTGCCAATAACAGATAGATATTGGTTAGAGCTCATAAGGATTTTTTTTTTACAACACGGGGCAAACGAGCATGCGGCTCACCTGATGGTGATGATCACCCACAACACCAACGGAATTGCAGGTGTGCTGCCGGCCTTTTAAAAATGAATGTACTCTTTCCTTGAAGGTTATGTTGTCGTATCGGTTCGGAAATACTGCTGCTGGAAGTTGATTCCAAAGAATGGTTGTGCGTGGAAGAAAGTGCCTTGAAAAACGCACGGTGGAAGACCGCCACTCGTCCAGATGGTTGGGATAAAACTTTAGTTTGTGGTGGGATGTACGGTGGTAAAAATCAGCAACAGGTATCAATCCGAACAATTCCTCAGAGCACTCCCCATGATAAATTCGATAGAAGATGCACAGAGATGCAACATCTCTGCGCAGTTTCAGTGGGTCAAGTCGGACAGTAACAACGGGACAGTCGTAAGGAATATAGACATTCGACTGGTACTAGCGATGCCGCATTGGGTGCTCACCAGTGTCCAGAAGAACTCAACATATACGAGCAGATATCGGTATTACCCATATCTACGAGCCATGTACTAAATTTCATTCAAATCCATTCAGTAGTTTTTGCGTGAAAGAGTAACAAACATCCATCTATCCAATATTTTTTATACACTTTCACATTTATAATATTAATAGATTTTTTTTAATGGGTGATAATGGAATGGTAACGCCGCCTGCGCTAACGGTATACGCTGGCGGAGTACCAGTAAGGGATGATAGGTGAGAATGAAAAGACAGGCCAGTTAGTTAGGTCTTACGTGGAAACCATCGTGATGAATACACCTGGAATTCAGCACGATGATTTCCAGGGGGGACTATGTGGAAGTCGACCTGACAGGTTGTATTGCTAGCAATGCGACTAATGATTCGCATTACTAACAATCTCTTCCTCTCCATATTAATAGGATTTAACGCTATTTATTACACCGTATCTGTCTAGCCCGATGGACGCGAGTGTGATATAATATGGGTGATAAAGTAGATAAAGTTTTGTTTGAGAAATCAGTTCAGGGTACGATAGGACTGATATACATGAAGAAGGTAAAAGCCCTTAAAATAATAATAATAATATATGGGTGATAAATATGTATGTAATATACATATGTTACAGTAATATAACACAAAAGTCTTATTGCTAAAACAAGCTGCCTTCCAGATAAGCTTTGGCTACAGGAAACAAAGGCTGCAGCAAAGTTAAGTGCCTCACTATTCTCATCATCATATTAGCCATTATCCATCCTCTGTTGAGCAGAAGTTTCCCCTAAAGACTGCCATAAAGAACGATTCTCAGCCACCTGTACCCAATAACTTCCTGCGAAGTTATTGGGTATAGGTGGCTGAGAACTTCAAGTGCATTGCAGGACGTCTCAAATGCACTTGAGGTCGTCACTCCATCTAGTGGGGGATCATCCTACACTGCATTTGCCCGTAAGGGATCGCCACTCAAGAAACTTTCTTCCCTATAAGTTATCCGTTCTTCGAGCTATGTGACAAGCCCATAGGCACTTTAGCTTGCTTATCTTTCAGGCTATATTGGTCACTTTGGTTCTTTTGCGGATATCTTCTGTCACGCAAAGCAATTCCAAATAAATCACTTCCTCTCCATAGCTCGCTGAGTAATATGAAATTTTTGCATACGGGCAATCTTGTAGGACCATGTTTCGGTTCCATAGATCACCAGTAGCAACATACACTGGTTAATGACCTCCGTCTTTAAACTTTGGCCTTTTTAAGTGGCTAGTATCGATAAAAAGACATGCCTAGATTGTATACTAAATTACTTTCTGTAACACTTTTTATTGGTCAATAAAATTTAAATAAATATATTAAGTAGGTATATAAAAACCATATTTATAATTAATTTGTTGATCAACAGCTAATGTTTTCGAAATTTTTTTGAAATCAATAATATAGAGGAAACATTTTATTGTTTATAATGGATTAATTTGAAAATAGTACTTAATCGATGTAAAATTGTTTTGCTTATAAAAGGCTACAGTATCAGCGAGAAATATGGGCTTTTTGTTTTAAAAAAATGGCTCTAGACCGGGCCGGGTTTCTAGATTGGGATGATTCATAAGCGCGGGCTCTAATTTAGAAAAGTAAGCCTGGGGAAATACTTAAAAATATAAAATATATTGAAATGGTTGATTGCTGAAAAAGGCGGAAAATAATCTTTACTGAAAGTGGTTAAAAATGCTTTTGTCCAGAATGACAAAATCCACTGATCGGCCATTTTTAAACAGCGTGACCCAAATTGGATTTCAATTTGTTAACTAGTGACTAAGTTTCAATACTGACATCGAAATTGCAGTTGTGTGAACTTACTTTTTGGAAGTAGGTACCTACTATTTTATTTTTACCTATTTATTTTTGAAGTCACAGTTTAATTAGAATTTTACTGATAACCTCAAATCGATACGGCACCAGACTGATAGTATTTGTAATTAACATTCGCGAGATAATTACTTGCGTTTCACGTAAAATGTCAATTGATCGACAATTTTTTTTACCCAATTACCTACAATTAATAAAGTAGATGTCATAAAACTAATTTGTTGTTGTTTAATATTTATAATTGAAGCAAAAACCTACATAACTGTCTGTGACATCTATGGCGCAGTGGTAAGAATATTACTTTTTGTATTTAAGGTTTCGGGTTCGATTTTAGTCGGGCTAATTTGGAAAATAAAATATTTTGAAGTGATTTATTTTTTAATGGATGAAAATATAATAGTTACCCTGCCTGCGCTATCGGTATACGCTGGTGAGGGCACCAGTGAAGGAAGACAGGTGAACATAAAAGCAGGTGAGTCTATCGTAACGAATTCCATAAGAATTAATGATGATAGTTTCTAGGGGAAAGGTCGTCTTAATAATGGCGTTATTAGACCTCATTATTAACCATCCAAACTTCATAGTTAAGGAATGGGTAGCAGCGTCCCTCTTAAAACATCACCAAAGCCTAACTGCGGCTGCCAAATGTTGCAACTATGTGCAAAACACCCCAACACCCTATGTTCAGCAGTGGACAGTTAAAGGCTGGTATGATGATAATAATTAACAATACCTTTCTCTTTTTTTTATACAACTTAAAATGTCAAACAAGCTGACGGCCCACCTGATGGAAAGTGGTAACCGTTGCTTATAGACATGAGCAGTACCATGGACATAACAGAGTATACTGTTTCGCCCATGATACCCCCCATGCTTTGCCATTCCTAAGGACTCAGATGTTATTCCTCTGTACAGTAAATTCACGCCATATCCCACCCTTCAAACTGAAACACAGCCATGCAAACACAACTGCTTCACGGTAGAAACACGAATGGGACAGGGGTAGCCAAGCAATCGACTTTTGTACAATGTCTCCCTCTGGTTTCTCTGGAGTAGGATCTAGTGAGACACCGGTTCTATGAGCGGTATAGTATATAGTTGGTGCAATACCCAATTGCTACTTAGGTGTGCAGGAGGCGGGTTACTGCTTGTCAGTTTGCTTGTCACTCCCAAGAGTATAAAAAGCCAATAAAGGATGTAATAAACGTGAAACTTACCCTATCTCTCTATAATATTTATTTACTCTATGTGATATCGTATTGTCTAAATTCAGATGAACCTACTTTGGTTCGAGTTATAATTTATTACCCATTTCGAGGTTATCAGCTTTTTAACAATTTTATTTGTTTTTATATGACTAAATACTTATCTATCTCCAAAATCTTGGCGGTGTAGCGGTTTAACACATTGCATCGCTTTTGGGTGGTCGCGGGTTCGATCTCTGCTTATTACAAACATTTTTTTAATGAATAATAATGAAATGGTATATAGGTAAAAATGAAAAGGCAGATCAGTTAGCTTATCGTGTTGAGTACACCTGGAATTCAGCACGATGGTTACCAGAGGGGACCACGTGGAGGTTGATCTGGCTGGGAATATTGCTAGCAATGGGACTGGCAGACCGCAACACTAATACCCCCCCCCCCCCCCCCCTTATTACAAACATTCGTATTCGTGAGTATTGTGAACTGATTGTAGGAAAGAAAACGCCGGTTCGTGTTGAAAAGTTGTACTGACAATTTATAAAAAAATTAGTAGGTAATTAAAAAATACAATATTTGAAACACAAAATACAAAGGAGTTTGTACCAGTGAGTATTACTGTTTATATTAATGCTTTATATGCTAGTGAATAAAGCATTTTGTTTTGATGTCTACTTGTTCTCATTTTTTAAAAATATCGATACTATATTTAGTATAATTCTTAGTTTGAGACTGGATGGTGGTAATTTTATAATAATACAGTATAATAAAAAATATTAAACGGATTCTTTTTTTTTTTAATGCCGAGTCATATGAGTTAATACGGTACACAACATATGGGCATTACAATGTATATTGTGGTCTCTTTACTGTTGTTTATGTTTATATAGGTCACCAGCTTATTGCTCCTCTAAGTCCTATAAAAAACATTTGTATCGGTGCAAGTATGTACTTTGACTTTTTACCGCGCATCAGACCGGATGCAAGCGTGGCGGCGCAGCGGGTGTGGCGGCCGGCCCCCGACCTGCCCCCGGACTGCATTATTATTGGTATAACGCATCCAATACAACAAATCGTTGACTGAGAACGAAATGGAAGCAGTCGATGTCTATTTGAGCAGTGGATTGGCGTGTAGAGCGAGGTCGAATGTCAAGAGCTATCAAGGCGTAGTGTGTGCGTTGCCGCGAGCGGCGCGACTTGTACGCATTGTGTTTATCAGCTAGTCCCTTAGCAGCCGCCGTGAGACTTGCTCGCGGTTACCACATCGATCTTTATACTGGGCCAACCTTGACGCTATTTTGACGCATTTGTGTCCAGAAGTGCAGACCCAATGTGAGTATTTCATATTGATTATATGATTTATGATATTTTTTGCGGTTTAAATAAATAAATTGGCCGATGGCACGTAGGAGCCGCTGTTGAATTTAGCGGATAAATTAACATAAGTGGGTAAACAAATCAACAATATTAATATTTTAATAGTTTACATAAGGTGGCTGTTTTATACGCTAGAACAAGAAAACATTATACGACTTTTGTACAGTTCTGTGTTACTTATTAAAATAGTGCTGAAACATATTTCAGATTTTCTTTTTTATAAAATATCCACATTTAAAAAAATGTCTTTGTAATTTATTATTACATATTATCAATCTTTAAAATACAAATATAACATAAAATATTTTAGCACACAGTCTGACTACCTCATAAGGGATTATAGTTGTGACTATATTAATTTATTATTTTATTGGTGCTCTAAATTAAGTTCAAAATTAAACTTCAAAAATCACTTATATAAAAAATATAATGTATTTAAATACACTTATACGTAGGTAGCACTGATGTACATGTTGATTTCATTAATGGTGTGTTTAGAGATAGATACCTCAGCTAATCTCAATATCTAGTATGTTAATGATACTCTTTAACAAGCAACTAGGTACACAGCAATCTTGGTTGTTATCCATTTACTCGCTGCGGGATGTAAAACTGTAATTTTTCTGAATTTCCCGCCCATATGGCAACCTTGCATGGATAAAGTGTGAGCTGATCGGGGCTACAAATTTAATATTTTTGTTAAACTCCTTGTGAAACAATGATACATTAGGCATATGGAAAATTGATGTACAAATTTGATGACGAATGAATTAGACGATAAACTGACGTACGTGTATTTCTTTTCACCTCATCGCTTTTAACTAATTAGTATTCTATTTCTCTGTAGACTTATTTCATTTGTTTTATTATACGATGTCTATCTACATATATAACGTGAAATTAACGATTCCACCGTTTTTGCGGTTTCCGACAATTATTAATTTATTGTTTTATAATTGTTTCTTAAAAGTTAGTTTTTAATGGTATTTCTGATCGCTAAATAGAATCAGAATAAAGAATAAATATGTATATTAATTTTATTTTTAAATTTCTGTGATACGTCTCTTTGGGATAATTCATAATATTAATTTATTTTGATGTTTTTGCGTTATCTTCCAGTATTTTTAACTTGTGTTATCAATCGGTTTTTAGGTCACAATAACTTATAATAATCAGTAATTGTTATGTTTAAGATTCTAAAACATTGGATATGTTTTTTTGATCAAGTTTTTATCGAGTCGCTCGTACGCAGTTTTTCCACTTGATCGCCTTAAAAAAATGTGTACAGAAGATTTACGATAATTGTATAATGAAAATATGAAATCAATGTGTGAGGGGATTACCTCAGCATAACTTTATCGTATTAGATACGATTTTTCTGGCGCCACCCGCTGTTGTGCGTTCGATGCGTAAATAGATTGTAAAATATTTCGTGGGACAGAGGCGGCGCGCCATGAATCGCGTAAAAATAATATCTATTGCTACATTTGTGTGTCTCTGTGTACAAACATGGACTATTTGTGTCTCTGTATGATTAGCGTCGTAATAAAAATAATAAAAACACTGCGCGGTCAATAATGTTTCATAACAAACTGAATGACCTATGCCCCGCAAGAAAAAGCGAATTCTGTCGTGATAAAAATGTGTTGCGTGATGAGAATGGAATGATAACCCCGTCTGTTCTACTGGTTTACACTAGCGGGCTACTGGTGAGGGATGATAGGAGAGGATGAAGGCAGATTAGTTTGGTTATTGATAAAAGTCGATTGCTTGGGTACCTCTGTCCCGTTCGTGTTTCTACCGTGAAGCAGTTGTGTTTGCATGGCTGTGTTTTGGTTTGAAGGGATATGGCAGTGAATTTACAGGGTACAGAGGAATAACACCTGATTCCTAAGGAATGGCAACGCATGGGGGGTATCATGGGCGAAACAGTATACTCTGTTACGTCCATGGTACTGCTCATGTCTATAGGCGACGGTTACCACTTTCCATCAGGTGGGCCCTCAGCTTGTTTGCCATTGTAAATTGTTTAAAAAAAAGTTCTTGTTAAGAATTCACCTTGGTGATATAATATACACCATAACATAGACAGAGAGTGGCTTAGATGATGATAACGTACACACGATATTTTCATGTCCATTTCAAATTAATGTCAATTGGGTAACTCATTGATAAGTGAGGTAAGTTAATTGAGAGATCTAGGGTTTTGATGTGTGAAGACCTTACTTTTAGAACGCATATTGTCGAACTGTGCACTCAGGCATTAAAACTTTCAGATTTGTATTGCGACAAGCGCAACAGTTGGATTGCATACAAGCTATTAAAGTGCTATATAATGCTTTTGTTCGTAGTAAATTAGAAAGTAACGCAATTATTTGGAACTCACGTGAGTCTAAATATATACTTATGGTGGAAAAAATCCAAGAGAAATTTGTAAGGTGGCTGTACCAAAAACAGTATGGTTTCAAGGTGTCTTATCCCCATATATACTCGAGTATGTTTTCGTTGGGTATGGTGGGTATAGGTGTATTATATATACACTAGTAGACGGAAAATAAATTTAATTGATTATGTATTAATATTAGTACGGCGGAAGAATGTAACCAAACTGTACTGGTACCAATAGGAGCGCCCAGTAACTACGTGCGAGCACGTAGACGACATTAATTTGATATTCCGTTAAGAAGAACAGAGTTGGCCAAGCAAGCTTTTTTTTGTTTTTATATACCACTGAGGTGGCAAACAAGCATACGGCCCACCTGATGGCAAGTGGTTACCGTAGCCTATGAACACCTGCAATACCAGAGGCATTACGCGTGCGTTGCCGACCCTGAAGAAACCTCTTTACCCCCCTTTTGAAGAAACCATGCTGTAGTCTCTTGGGAAAAAAGCTCTTCTATCTCTTGCATTGAAACTACTCAATGATGTTTTGAGCCGTTATCCGCAATGAGACGTGTTTGCGTCCAACTTGCTGGAGTTTCGTCGGATGACCACACAGTGTTTGTGTTCAGAGATATTTATGTTATTTCTGTTATTGTTATGTTGTAATTTAAATCTAATTAATATAATTCCATTAATTTATACATGTGTTACTGTACTGATGCTTTCCTAAGTGAGCCTATTGGGAAACTGTAAAGTTCACACAGTTGATAAAATAAATAAATAAATATTAATTATTTATAATGCAATCAGTAGGGTTTGCAACTTAGTTTGACATATACTACCTATTTTCTTAAAATTACTATATTTATTTTGTGGAATATTTTTAAAATTTTTTAAAATAGATATTTTTGTCTTTTTAATAATAATACACAGGGCAGACTGCGTTTAGGGTGTACAAGTAATTTTTACAAGTAAATGTATATCTCCATTACCCACTGACAGCCAGTTACAGACAGCGACAGTAAGCTGCCAAACAGAGAATTTCCATTAGGACAAATGGTTTTTTAGCATTACACACATGTAATCTATTATAGCACCGGCGTACACGTAACAATTATTTCTTCCAATTAATGGTTTGTACGCGTGTAGTGAAAATTCGCTATTTGTCGTACCAATGACATGAGCTAGGAACAAGAACGGAAAATGCCTATGTTATATGACGGCAAGTCATAAAGAGAAGATCTAACATAAGACGCGTAGATAAGCGAGTATTTGATATTGTGTTAGAACAGAAGCCACTAATTATAATCAATATACAAAACCAGTTATATTTTTTAAATATTTCGCTTTAACATTGCTTGGGTACCTCTATCCCATTCGTGTTTCTACCGTGAAGCAGTTGTGTTTGCATGGCCGTGTTTCGGTTTGAAGGGTGGGATATGGCGTGAATTTACTGGGTACAGAGGAATAACACCCGAGTCCTCAGGAATGGCAACGCATGGGGGGTATCATGGGCGAAACAGTATGTGTGTGTACTGTTATGTCCATGGTACTCCTCAGGTCTATAGGCGACGGTTACCACTTTCCATCAGGTGGGCCATCAGCTTGTTTGCCATTCTAAGTTGTATAATATATATATATATATATATATATATATATATATATATATATATATATATATATATATATATAATATAAGAACTATCTAAACTAATACTATAAAGAGGAAAGTTATGATTATTGTTTACAATGGATAAACTAAAAACACTTAAACGACATTAAAAATTCGTTTATAGGCAGCTATGTTATCAGTGTGTGTTACACGCTGTGAAGCCGGAATGGGTGACTAGTATATTACATGTAGAATAAATAAATGCTGAAATGTCATTTATTAGAGAATTCCTAAATAATATTGAAGATAAAATAAACGAGGTATTAAATAAACTACTAAATAGATCCTCCATTGTATTACTATTTTTTTTTTATACAACTTAGAATGGCATACAAGCTGACGGCCCACTTGATGGAAAGTGGTAACCGTCGCCTATAGACATGAGCAGTACCGTGGACATAACAGAGTATACTGTTTCGCCCATGATACACCCCATGCGTTGCCATTCCTGAGGACTCAGTAATTTGAATGGATGTTATTCTTAATCACAACCAATATGCGGTTACTATATTAATTCAAAACAGCGGAGGAAAATGAAGTTACACCTGTTACATTTACGTACGAGTAGTAAACTTATTATAAATAGATACAAACAATTACAAGAAATAAGCGATCTCTTTTAGGCAACCTTTAAAATAACTTTTATAGTGTTACTAGCTGACCCCGTAAACGTTGTTTTACCACTTATTGCGAAATATATAAATCGCGATTAAAAACAGGGGTTGATTGTAAAACGATGAAAATTTAAAGTTGTATGTATTTTTCAATGCTAAATCATATTTATATAAAATTAAAAAAAATTGTCAAAAAAATAAAAAAAAATTTTTAGGGATGGGTCACCCTTATCAGTGATGGGTATAAAAATAGATGTTGGCCGATTCTCAGACCTACCGAATATGCA